GTGGGTGGCTTCACTTCACCATTCACGAGTTATGCTCTTTTATAAGATGAAAAATTGCTGAAATTGCTGTTTCCCCAATCTAACTTTACATTGACACTACCAAATGTTCTGAAACTTATACACAATGCTTAAAACCACCAAACACAAATCAAATATGAATTTGGGTGGCATCACTTTCACTGTTCTTGTATTATGCCCTCCTTTATAAATGTAAAATTAGTATCAATATGTTTGAATTAGTACATTGATTTTTGCATATTTAAAAGCAGGAGCATTGGTGTCCCATGGACACATTTTTCTCCTTTTTTTTCTTTTTTATTAAAAAACATCTGCTCCTTTTCTGCAGTATTTTATTATTATATTTTTATTAATTTGAACAAAAAATCCATACATGTTGATGTATTGTGTATTAGGCTTTACAGCATATAAATTATCCCTTGTCAGATTTATGGTATTAATAACAGGTCTCGAAATGGGAAGATTTAGATTGTAATTGATGCAGTTTTGATATAAGTATTGGCGACAGTTTGTAGGCAGAGGATAAATCTATATGACAAATAAATCTAATAACCCTATCACTGATTTGGCGAGGGATTTCCTCTACAGTGGAAATTAGAAGACCGAATCAAAATATTCTGTCTATTACAGAATGCAAAATGAACAAACTTGTGATTAATTATAAGTATTACCAGTGCTTTTCATGCAATTTAGCACTGCAACCAGATGAAAACTAATTTTTCCGCTTCAGTTGGTTTCACTGCTAGTACAAATTAAACATGGATCTGTTATAATTGACATTTTTAGTGGAAAGAATTAATAGCACTGTTTGAGGGTTAAAACATGAACAAGCATTTGCTTAACAGCATGAAATGAATAGGAGCAATTGATTTTTATCCTGAAATCAGAAAAGAGACTGCTGGTAGAACGATAAGCTAATGACGTTTGACAAAGGAAGGTTTATTAAATTGAAGCAATAATTGGTAGATGGAGACATAATGATAGAATATTGAGGTTGGGTCGTGTACATGTAATGTTATGTTGTCAATGGGTTAATGAAGCGGTTATATTTGCAAGTAAAATTGAAAAGTACACTTTGGTCTGGGCTGAGGGTTATAAAACTTTACATAGTTCTCAGGGTACAAAATTTGAGCTCAAAACACCAAATCCATTTTTAGCTTTTCTCATCACTTGGCATCCGTCGTCCATCGTTGTCTGTTAACTTTTACAAAAATCTTCTCCTCTGAAACTACTGGGCCAAATTTAACCAAACTTGGCCACAAGCATCATTTGGGTATCTAGTCTAAAAAATATGTGTCCCATGACCCCACCTGCCAACCAAGATGGCCGACGTGGTGAAAAATAGAACATAGGGGTAAAATGCAAGTTTTATCTATTATTTTGAAAACTGTTATAAATAGAGAAAATCTGATAGGAGCACAAATGTTCAGAATGTTGAGCACTACCAATTGCCATATACGTCAAAACTGTCAGATGACTTTCTATAGGAGTTATTGCCTTTATATGACAAATTTTACCTTTTTTATTTCATTTTTTGCTTATTATCTTAAAAACTATAATAAATAGAGAGAAACTTTAAATTGCAAAAAAAAATATCAGCAAGACAAGTTCTACAAATAAGTCTCATGGTCGAAATTGTTAGTCGACTCTTTGTGAGAGTTTTTGCCCTTTGATGACGATTTTTACCAATTTTTTGTGTTTTTGCCTTATATCTTAAAAACTATAACAGATAGATAGAAACTTAGATATGCAAAAATGATTAGCAAGACAAGATTTACAATGAAGACAATATGGAGGAAATTGTTTGACGACTCCTTATTGGAGTTATTGCCCTATATTGATGATTTTCACCATTTTTTTTTGCGTTTTGCCATATATGATAAAAATTATAATAGATAAATAGACACTTTAAATTTCAAAAATGATCAGCAAGTCCAGATCTACTGACAAGTCTAATTTTGCTGACATAGTTATTAGACTGTCACTCTTTATAGGAGTGATTGCCTTTAAATGAGGATTTTTTTACCCTCTTTTGTGTTTTGAGCAAAAACTAAAGAAGATAGAGAGAAACTAAACAGACTAAATGAACAGCAATACAAGATAAACAAAACAGAGATTTTGTCATGAATTCTATTCTCTTTTTCAAAGAGAGAGGTACGAAAGATACCAGAGGGACAGTCAAACTCATAGATCGAAAACAAACTGACAACGCCATGGCCAAAAATAAAAAGACAAACAGACGAACAATAGTACAGATGACACAACATAGAAAACCAAAGACTAAGTAACACGAACCCCACCAAAAACTGGGGGTGATCTCAGGTGCTCCAGAAGGGTAAGCAGATCCTGCTCCACATGTGGCACCCGTCGTGTTGCTTATGTTATTACAAATCCGGTAAATAGTCTTATTCGGTAAGTCACATTAGTGAGAAGGGAGGGTATTGTAGTTACGACATAAGGAACATATCCGATATCATCTGTGAAACGGTTATTCCATAACGGTCAACCAACTCGTGATGGCGTCCGTAAAATTTACGAAGGGATGACTTCAACTTCACCATTTGGAACTCTTGGTTTAATAGCTTCCTTGTGAGCAGCAATCCTCCATCAAGGAAATCATGATAGGAAACACAAGCCCGGGAATATTGTATCAATTGGGAAATATATACTCCGTATGCAGGCGCTGCCTGCTGGAATGTTGCTACATAGAAATGGAAAGTTCACAATTGGGAAGCTGAAATCATCTCTTTTGTTGTAAAGTTTTGTTTTCAACCGACCCTGATTGTCAATTTCTAGATGTAAGTCAAGATATGAGGCAGACTTAACTGTATCTGTAGTATCCTTTATCTCTAGTTCGATGGGATAGATTCGTTCAACATAGTCACCAAATTTTGCATTATTTAGTGAGAGAACATCATCTATATAGTAGAACGTAGAGTTAAAGGATATTGCTAACTTCTCATCTTTCTTCCTAAAAAGTTCCTGTATGAAGTCAGCCTCATAATAATAAAGAAACAAGTCCGCAAGAAGAGGGGCACAATTGGTTACCATTGGAATTCCGACAGTCTGTTGAAAAACACGTCCTCCAAACGTAACAAATATGTTGTCAATCAAGAAATCAAGCATCTTGATAATATCAGTTTCAGAGAATTTTTTGTTTGAATCAGAGTGATTCTTTACAAAGTAGGAGTTATCCCTCCCCAAGACAAGATACTTGTATCTACGTTCGCCATTCTTTTTAATGAAACAAAGTAATACCTACTCTTTCAATTTGCCTTTAGTTTGGAATGGGGAATACTTGTGTAAAGTGTAGAAAAATCAAATGTTTTAATACTACTGCAAGATGAGAGAGTCTTAGATTGTATGTTCTCTAAAAGATCTTTGGAATTTTTTAGTATCCACATCAATGTTGGAGAGTGTCCTTTGTTGAATATGCACATAGACCAAGGTGAATGACACAGGCTCTTTAGAGCTTTAGAGCCTCTATTATATATGGGTAGATAAGTTGTTCTTAACTTACACATTTTATTTAAAGGCAGTTTTGTTAAAGAATCTATGAAAAATATTGAGTCACCTGACAGGGAAGCTTCTGAGACACATACATATAAATTCTGTCATCTTGCACCTTGTTATCGCCTTGACAGAAATCAACCACACTTCGACACATTTTTTTCTACAGAACACAAAAGTTTTTCACCTGCTATTATAATTTTTGATCTATGTCATTTTTGAAGTTTTCCATACCAAAACATGGACATAGCAGTTTCTGCTTATCAACTGCAAAAGAAACTACTGAATGCATAACCTTGATTAAATCTTCAAGGAATGATGGGATGTGATACAGCTGAACTCAGTGTGTGATATTTACAAAGAATATAAGATGTCTTGACAGAAAATGCATAAAAAGAAAAATGTTTTCTGATTATTATTATTATAATTAGAATTGTTGTAAATTTGTCATTCCATAACTTGAAAAATATTGTTAAGAGTGTTGGGCCGACCGTGCAAAGGCTGTATAGCCAGTCAAGGTAGTTGAAAACTTTCATCATCAAGAGTGTTGGTATATAATTTTTATTTGTCAAAGGGATATAATCTAAATTATATTTTATTGCTATTTTTTCTAATCAATGTTAAATTGCATTTTCGTAAGTTTAACCTCAGCTTCCGGTCTTCTATTATTAAGAACTTATAAATTACTTTCAAATGAGTGAAAAAGAAAAATGATAATCTGACAATGTTAAGGTACTATTTCTCAAAGTATCATTACAGGAGTAATTTTGATAAATAGCGATTTTATTTTGGATGTTTTCTAAACATTTCTTTTTTTGGATGTTGAATTATTTTTAATCCATTATAATTTTTATGTATTTTATTCATTAATCTTAATATCACACATTTGTGATATTTTAGAAAGGGATTTTTTTAGTTAGAGAAAATGTGGTACAAAGAGAGGTAACTCAAATAGTTTCAGATTTTAAATAAGGTTTGTCAGTAATTTTTATACGCCCGTTTACAGGACGTTTTATGCTATACCGTTGTCCGTCCATCATCAACATGTCGGACAATTACTCAAAAATGCTTTAACCAATATTCCTGAAACTTTGGTGAATTGTTTATATCTATTGACGTAAGCGTTCCTGTTCGATTTTTATAAATTTTAGATTTGACGTTTCTGAGTTATGGGATTTTATTCATAAAAAAGGAGGGATTTTCCAGTTTTCAGACAATTACTCAAAAATGCTTTTGAGCAGTTTTCATGAAACTTTGATGACTGGTTTATATCTATACGATAAGCTCTCTTTATTTTTTTTTTTTTTATTTTCTGATATGACATTAGGAGATATGGAACTTTATTCGTAGCAAAAAAGCGACAGGCATATCATGTGCTCATCGTGCAGCTCTTTCTTGTACATTAATGCAGTTATAGTGTTTTTTTAAAATGATTGCTTTACTCAGTTAAATTAAGTTCATTTTCTTTTCAGGGAAGTACAATACGAAAGAGAAAAATGTATGAAGAATTCCTTTGTAAAGTTTCTATATTGGGTAAGAGTATTGAATATATTAATTCTCATCCATTACAAGCTAGCAAAAAGATAAATCTTATAATAATTTTGAAAGACTACATTGCAGTGGCACAATTTGTATGGTGTTTAATCAACAGAAGACATTACAAATAACAACATTGTCATAATTTTGGACTCTCAAAATCAAGGTCGTCCTGAACATGCATGCAAATATTTGCCACTGGACATTAAGCAAACAATAACCAATTAGCTCTAGATTTACCTATCTCGATAACATTATGCTATCAGCTGATTCTCTCTCTTGTACTGAGAGGGCCAATCAAAATCCTTGATTCGTTACATGTTTTCATTGTGTAAAGAGTTCAGGCTCTCTAGAGTGGGAGAGTCGATCACAGAGAGGGACTGAATTATTTGTGCTTGCTTATGTGAAATTGTTGTGAATGTTTTTTTTAATTTTGATCAGTAGTTGATGCTATAAAGCTCAAGTATTGAAATTCCATCATTAACCCATTGTGGTATTCTATGAAATTTCTACCATTGTGCATTGAATTTATATTACAAACATGATTCTTCAAACAGAAAACCTTGACAAATGGGAGAGACTTACAGTAGCAGATGCCTTAGAACCAGTACAATTTGAAGATGGAGAAGAAATAGTTAGACAAGGGGAACCAGGAGAAGATTTCTTTATCATTGCTGAGGTAAGGGAAAATAGTATGACTTGGGAACCAGGTTAAAATTTAAAGCAAAAAATATGATGAATGAAGAATACAACAGTTTTTATGCCCCAGCCAAGGCAGAGGGGGCATTAAGTGTTACCCTTGTCTGTCCGTACATACATATGTTCCAAAATTTGTTTCCATTCTCTAACTTTAGTTTGCCTCAACCAAATGTTATGGAACTTATACAATTATGAAAATAAGAACTGCCTCGTGCTTAGAAAAGTTGTATATGAATTAACTAGACTTTCAAAAATTTGCCATAAATACCAAATTCCGTAAAATATACGACGTTATTTCAGATATAATGATTGAATAATTTTTTTTTCAGGGTCAAGCTTCCGTTTTACAGAGAAAATCAGATGATGAGGAACCAATAGAAGTAGGAAGATTAGGAATCTCAGATTACTTTGGTGAGTTTCAGATAACAAATTATGCTAGAAAGTTATTATGTGCAGTAAAAAGTATTAGAACATAAAGAAAGAAAGAAAAAGGAAAGGATACATAAGTTTTCTATAAAGAGGTCATATATCGTAAGAGGTTACAGATTAAAGTAAAGTTTTACCAACTAATCTAAAGCACCCTACAAACAGCCAATTTTTTTATAAACATTTATATCATATATTCTATTTGCAGGTGAAATTGCTTTAATATTAGACCGACCCAGAGCTGCCACAGTCATCGCTAGAGGCCAATTAAAATGTGTCAAACTAGATAGAGGAAGATTTGAGCGTGTATTAGGGCCTTGTTCTGACATTCTGAAGAGAAACATTTCACAATACAATAGTTTTGTTTCATTATCAGTGTAGAACTTACTCAGTTGTATAGATTTTATTTTTTGATATTTTATGGACGCAGTTGAAAGTATTTTGCTATTTTCACAGATTTCATTTGTGAATTGATCTCAAGAACTTCTTCATTTTGTATGAAATGTTTAATTGAATGTTTGAATGGAAGTTAAAAATGAGAAAAAATCTATTAAAACAAAATGTTTTATGTCCCTTTTCAATTCCCCTCAGATACGTTTATAAAACCCTCAAAATTTTATTACAATCCATAGTGGATGAATTTTCATGAACACATATTTAAAAAGATAAATAATTTCTATTTTTGTTCTTAGTTGACACAGGATTAAGGGATATTTAAGTTTGCTCATAGTCTGTACATGTAAATCATGTTCTTAAAATGTACACGAATTATTCATAGAGATGAACTAAATAATTTTTTTATTGTCATGACTTAATAATATGCAAATTACCTCTTTGATGAAAGGAATTTAATATGTTTTATGTTTTACTGCAGGTGATGAGCTTTATATTTTAGAATTCATATGTTCATGAGTTTATTTAAATGAAAATAGCAATTTACTTTCTATATGTGTTGTTCCAAAGTCGTTAAAAATAATTTATTATTAATAAAGCTAGGGCTTAAGACTTGTGATAGGTTAGGCTTTGTTAGAATTGTACAAATTTTACCATGCTGTATATTGCTTATATAGAAGATATTGTACAGTATAGAATGTATAGGTATAGTTTTGGGGTATTTGTATGGAATTAAAAACTCTTAACAAAATAGGCCATTAAGAAAAAGTCTCATTTCTGAGGTAACTTAATTTTGATACAGACACACTTGATCTGACACAAAATATTTTGATCTTTCTAAACTGTAACATTGTAAAAATAATAAGAAGAAATGTGTAAAAAATTCAGTTGATACATGCACCATCTTTGGCTCCTTTTTGAGGTACGGCTATTGCCAATATTTTTTCATGAATTATTTCGTCTTAGACTTTATATTATAATATCCTATATCCATTCTTGCAAGGCTAGATTTCTGAAAGGGAAAAGAAATTAATTCAAATCGTTAAAACCAGTTTCTTCGTCAATTGTTGGCCGAGCCTGAGTAACAAATATTGTTTGACTGTGTGGCCTTTTGTTAATATCTTTAAAGATTAAATTTATTGTTTTGTTTTTGCTGTTTTTTAAGTTTGTTTTGTTTGCTGACTAAAACATTTTATTTTAACAAAGATTCTTACTCCATTCAATGTTCTTGATTGATTATTAGTTGTTTCAAGTTAAAATATTATCATCAACTTATTTTGAATTTAGAGTCTATGACCACGATCATTAGAAATTACTTGTATTAGAATAGCAGTAGTATTCGGGGGCTGATCAAATATTTTTTAATGGGGGGTTGGGAATTCAAAAAAGAGAAAATATAGTGTGAACATTTTTTGGACAATTTTATACTAAACAATGATATATTTTCCATTGCAAAGGGGGGACATATGCCGTTCATGCAATCCTTAATCTCCCACTGGTATTGTCCTGGTTTTTAAAGAAAAGTTGATTTTTGATGTTTTGGGTTTGAAACCCCTGAGAGTCAATTAGTTGAATTATTAAGCTCAATGTATGAATGTTTATTTATTTGTTTCAGATTAAAATTTGTTCTTATTTATATTTTGAGCAGGGCATTTTTACTTTAGAGTTAAAGTCCAGTATTTATTGTAAATTTACCTCACTTTCTCTTAAAGGTATTTTTTATTTTTCATCCTAAATTCAAATCTTTTCTTTGTATTTAACACTAATTTATTTATAAAATTATTTATTTATTTTCTAATTAAATAAAAAAGCTAATTTAAGTAGATTTAAGTCATGTTTTACTAATAACAGAAGTAACAGTTAATCATTGAATCCTTTGAAGTTACTGTTCTGCTTCTCTAATCAGTATCGATTAAAAGAATCAGTGTCTGACATGTAACCTTTTTTTTAAAAAGAAAGAAAACAGTTTAAATTTATTCAGTTAAACAACCATATTTAACTATAGATATTAGATTATCATCAATTTGATGCCTCGTTCACACGTACATTTAATTCGAATTGAATTCGAATCGAATGCGAATCGAATTCGCTAATCGCGTTCACACACTCTTCTTTTTTAATTCGAATTGATTCGAATTGGCTAATTCGAATTATCCAATTCGCAATAGCAATACGTTTTTGTTAATACGAATTAAAAGATAACGTCGTTCGGACAGTAAAGCGAATTTGACGCGCATTGCAATTCGAATAAGAATTGACGTTAGGACGTAAAACTTTCGAATGCGAATTAAACTAATTCGAATTAGTTAATGCGAATCGAATTCGAATTACGTGTGAACTCAGCATGAAATCATTCTCTTACAGATATAAAAAGTAATTTTTTCAACAAAGAAAAAAAAATTCAAAGGGATTTTCCAGTGCCCACTTGACCAATTTAAGAAAAAAGGCTCAAGCAACGTTTGTTTTGAATGGCTTTATACTCTTTCCTGTCAAATACTTTCTTATGCAAAGGGAGCTAACCGCTTTAGGTATAATTTACAAAGTTTTGCTTGCCAGTATTTATCTTATGTAGTAAAAGGTAAATTATTATAGTTTATATATTATTAAATTCTATACTTTTTCTTTCCTGTTATATTTATAAATAGCACAAAATATGTAGCTACAATAAGAATAGGAATGGTTTATATAAGAAGTGTTTGTAAATGTATTTTGTTGCCTTTACTTATAATATTTTTTTATGTTTAATTAAAATCTACTAAAGAATAACTTTTCCTATAGATATACATTTCATGCAGTACAGCTTCTGTAATGAATATTTTATTTTATTCTTCCATTAAAAGATATAAAAAGATAATCATTTTAAATATTGATTTGATTGATTCTAACTAATCCTTACTGGTTATTCTATCAGATTAGTAAATTTGAAAGTCGATGTACCTTAAATATAACTATTCTTGGTGTTCTGGATTATATAAATGAATGTCCATATTCAGTTACAAATGTTCTAAGAATTATTGTAAATGGGATCAGATGGGAAGCATATTTGAATAAATATTTCTGAGAAGTAAGCTGTTATTAAAGATCAATTTAAGGAAGAAAGAAAAAGAAAAAAGGAAAGTTTATGCATGGATAAAGATAATGTCTTTCCTTCTCTTTTAATTACTGTAGAAACATTTATTATCATAGGAGGAAAATTTGTTTGTTTTTTCTCTAAAATTTATTTGGTTGGGATTAAGTTTCATGGTTTCTAGTAGGTAGACAAAGTAATGCTTAATAAAATGTTTTTTTAGGGGGGTTTTGAATTTCTGGATCATATCTTTCCATGAAATAAATGAAATAAAACCCTATTTTACAGTACACTTGTTTCTGAAAAGCCTATATAGAATTAGTCCATTTATTTTTTTTAAGCTTTTTTTTAAATCTCCTTTTAACAATTGTAATATAATTATCAAGCTACCTCTCTGGTGTACAACAGAACATTAGAATGGGTGTCAAAATGCATATCTGGTCAAATGAGCATACCGGTAACTTCAAAAATCAAAAAGCATTGTTAAAGTTGTTAGTTTGATCATTAGTTACTTCCCTTTCATAACAATTGTTAAAAAATTAAAAAATTCATCCCGTAATTAGATGAATGTAAAGTTTCATACATTTTGATAGAACTGATTTCCAGTTATATAACATTGTATGCTAGTAAAATTGATATATTCCAAGGAGCAAAAGGAGTTTTTTATATACCTCTGTTGTTTAGTGCACGTGTACCTGTCGTCTGCCATTATATGAAATGTCTTCAGCTGCTGTACATAAAAACCATAAATTACATTTGTTATACATCTTAGGACAGAATTTTACAAATATAATATTTTGATTTTTTTGTGAATTTTATGTTTACTAATGAAATGTTTTGTTTTTTTTTTTTTTGCTGAAAATAAACTTGTTGATATGAAGCAATATTGAAAAAAAAATATAAAATAAAATATTCAGCCATTGCCATTCTGTGTCAAATTTTTCAGCTTAAGATATGAAGGGCCTACTTTGATTGAATAATTGTTGTTTAATGTCACTTTCAGCACTATTGGCTACATAGTGGCGGCCATTTTTTATTGGTGAAAGAAGACATAGTGCTTGTAGAGAACCACAACCTTTGTCAGGAAAACTGACAATCCCAGTCAATTAAAGAAGTAGTGGAATGCGTCTGCCACATGTAGGGTTTGAACTCAAAACCTCCATGTTGACAGGCTATTAGATTGCAATAGAATAATTCGTAATAAATGTTTGCTTTAATATAAATTAAAATAAGGAGGTCTGGTAAATTGCCAAAATGAGCCCTTTATCCATCAAAGACCAGAGGATAAGGACGTGAACAACTACTGATCAATATACAAACTTCAACAATGAGCAAAACTCATACTGTATTATAAGCTATAAAAGGCTCCTTGCTGACAAAATGTCAGACAATTCAAAAGAAAAAAACCAACAGCCTGATTTATACTAAAACAATAGAACATTTGTGACAACCAACGATAAACACTAGATTAAAGCCTCCTATCTAGGGATATAGATATAAGAAGGTGTGGTACGAGTGCCAATGAGACAACTCTCCATCCAAGTCACAATCTGCAAAAGTAAACTATTATAGGTCAATGTACGGCCTTCAACACAGAGCCTTGGCTCACACTGAACAGCAAGCTATAAAGGGCCCCAAAAATGACTATTCAAAAACCATTCAAACAGGAAAACCAACGGTCTAATCTTTTAAAAAAAAACGAGAAACAAGAAACACTTATGAACCACATCAACAAACGACAACCACTGAACATCAGGTTCCTGACTTAGGACAGGTGCAAACAAATGCAGCGGGTTTAAACGTTTTAATAGGCGCCAACCTTCACCCTATCTGAAACAATAGTGTAACATCACAACATAGAAAAACACACTATAAAATATCAACTGAAATGGCTTAACTCAATCAAAAGACATATTAACAAAAACAAGTGAACATACACTGAACGAATAAATTTGATCTATGACACAATGTAAATACAAAATTAATGAAACAAGGGGGGTTAGATGTTTAACAATATCAGAAAGAAAACCATATAACCTTGGACAAAATGCCGCCAAATAAAATAACGTACACAGGTAAATAAAAATAATTTTGTTGTAAGGTATACATGGAGTACGGAGATAATTTTGTTGTTCCTAGTACGAGAACAAAAGTGAAAATTTATCGTCATATGTATATAAAGAATGTGGCTTGGTTAAGCAAAAACATGTTTTGTGAGCATTCAACCCCACCCTACTCTGGGACAGTGGTGTATCAACACAACATGAGAACAAACAAAGAAATAGTTGAAAAAGGGTTGACTCATCAGCTTGGTACAAAGCAAAAGGATTAATGGAAAAATACCAAAAGACACAAAGTATCTATCATAAAGTACTCACAGTTACTGAAAGAAAGTTCAAAGCTGATTTTCAACTATTAAATAAGCATGTTTTCCAAGACTTAACTAATTATCAATCAAGTGCAGCTAAAGGTAACAATATACAGTTAGGAAAAAAATAATTAAAATTTACTCTCATAAATTTTACCATCCCCTTTTCCTTGCTTTCTTACAAATTAAGCTTACTGTTTGTGTCATATATGTGCATATGTATGTAATCAGTTTATTCCATATATTTGACATCCAGCAGTTGAAATGATTAAAGATAATTTCTTTTTGGTGTATCCATGGCAACAACCTGCATGTATTTGCTATAAAATATTGCAAAAAGGAGTAGAAAGATGTCATATATTTCCCTAAAATTTGACAAAAAGAAGAATTTCAATCCCTTGAAGTGATACCTTTTCTGAAACTGTTTGCATATATCTATCAAGAGATCAAATAAAAATCGTACATCTTTCTTCTCATTTTTAGCTGACAGTTCCGAAGGAACTGTGAGCTTTTGCAATCACTTGGCGTCCAGTGGCGTCCGTCCAGTGTAAACTATTTCAAACATCTTCTCCTCTGAAACTACAGAACCAATTCCAACCAAACTTAAACTGAAGGATCCCTATGGTATCTAGAATAAATTTTGTGTTTTATTTTCTGTTTCATCAAAAAACATGGCCGCCATGGCTAAAAATAGAACATAGGGGTGAAATGCAGTTTTTGGTTTATATCTCAAAAGCCAAAGCATTTAGAGCAAATCTGACAAGGTAAAAATGTTCATTAGGTCAAGTTCCATCAGCCCTGAAATTTTTAGAATAGACGAATCTAACAACCCATTGTTGGGTTGCTGCCACTAAATTGGTAGTTATAAGGAAATTTTGCAGTTTTTGGTTATTATCTTGAATATTATTATAGATAAAGATAAACTGTAAACAGCAAAAATGTTCAGCAAAGTAAGATCTACAAATAAGTTTCACATGACCAAAATTGTCAATTGACCCCTTAAGGAATTATTGCCCTTTAAGGAAAATTTTACACAATTTGTTTATCATGTTTTCTAACTTTAAAAAATCTTCTCCTCTGAAACTGCTAAACCAATTCCAACCAAACTTAAGCTGTATGATCCTTAGGGTATCTACAATAAAGTTTGTGTTTTATTTATTGTTTCTTCAAAAAACATGGCCGCCATGGATAAAAATAGAACATATGGGTAAAATTCAGTTTTGGCTTGTATCTCAAAAATTAAAGCATTTAGAGCAAATCTGGCATCAAGTAAAAATGTTCATTAGGTCAAGTTCTATCAGCCCTGAAATTTTCAGATGAATCTAACAACCCATTGTTGGGTTGCTGCCACTAAATTGTTAATTTTAAGGAAATTTTGCAGTTTTTGGTTATTATCTTGAATGTTATTATAGATAAAGATAAACTGTAAACAGCAAAAATGTTCAGCAAAGTAAGATCTACAAATAAGTTTTATGACCAAAATTGTCAATGGACCCCTTAATGAGTTATTGTCCTTTAAAGACAATTTTTCACAATTTGTTCATCCAGTTTGCTTACTTTAAAAAAATTCTTATAAACCTACTTTGAAGGCTAAATTAGTTATCAGCTGTCAAAAATGAATTTTATTGCACAATAACTTTCATATTTGAAAAATACTCTGGGGCCAAAATGCAAAACTTCACTCCTAACTGTGCATTGCTACCAAAATGGCTTTGAAGGGGTTTGATTATGCCAAGGGGGTCCATCTGATAGTGCAAAATGTATAGATAAGAAATCCAGTTTTCTCGTTTGAATTGTTTTACATTTGTCATTTCGGGACTTTTATAGATGACTATGCGGTATGGGTTTCACTCATTGTTGAAGGCCGTACAGGGACCTATAGTTGTTAATTTCTGTGTCATTTGGTCTCTTGTGTAGAGTTGTCTCATTGGCAATCATACCACATCTTATTTTTATAGTCTAATTGGAAGGCATGTGTGCATGTTTCAAAGTTTTTAAGGGGTTCACATCTGTAGGGGATCTTGATGCCAAGCAACATTTCAGACCCTACCAAATATGCTTTCGTTTCCAGTCTTGGGTAAAAAATGTCTACCAAGTCTTCAAACGTACACTAATTTCAAAACCTGTAAATTGAATAATTCTTAATTTGTTCTCTTATCTGAATATGAAAAACATGACACTGGACAGTCAGTAGCTAGTGATCACAAGAAATATTCAACACCATACAGCATGAAGCTAATGATCACAATGAATATTCAACACTGGACAGTAGATAGCTTATAGTCACAATAAATATTCAACACTGGACAGCAGTTAGCTTATGGCATTTGTATATAAAGAATGTGGCTTGGTTAAGCAAACAGCACATGAAAATATTTGACACTGGAAAGCAAGTAGCTTATGCTCACAAGAAATATTTGACTCTGGACAGTAAGTTGCTAATGATCACAAGAAATGTTTGCCAGTAAACAGAAATAGCTAATAAACACAAAAATATTTGACTCTGAACAGCAAGTAGCTAATGATCACAAGAAATAGTTGCCACTGGACAGCAAGTAGCAAATGATCACAGATCACAAGAAATATTTGCCAGTGAACAGAAATAATCTTATGAACACAAGAAATATTTGACACTGGACAGTCAGTAGCTAATGATTACACGAATATTCAACACCATAAAGCAAGTACTAACCAATGATCACAAGGAATATTCAACACCGGCTGTATTTTCTAAATGATCATTATAAAAGCTACATTACATTGTAATAACTGTTAGAACTGTTATTGACTTTTGGTAATTTTTTTCGTTAGGTTACTATTTCATTGTCGTATGTTCCACATTTTACTTTTTTCATTTGTATGTCATATGATTATTAAAACTTATATTTTTTGTATTCTGAAGTTGACCGCATTGTAATAGATACATAAAAACCTAAAAATCGTTCACTTTAAGCCTTAAATAGAATCCTCTTGACAAAAGTTTGAAATATAAACTTGACAGCAAAACTGCACAAAGAAGAGTTCAGCACATAAAAAAAGTGAAAAAAAATGTCGTCATGCCATACTGATGGAAACAGGATCTGCTTAAGGAAAACAACAGAAAAAACTGTTATCCTGTTAAACCAGTGCAACAAGCCTCTACTCTGTTTGCCACTCCAGTATGAAACCATTTAAACATTACCTTTTTCGCCAATTTTAAAACTTCCAAAGAAAATAAATTACCCTTAGAAAATTATTGCCTGTTATACCCGCTCGGTCAACTAATGCAATCGCACTCAGTTGGTACAGTAATAGTTAATACCTGAAATAAAGTGTATGATAATGAACAAAATATAAGGGAAACACCTTAACGAACTGGCGTTTGACCTTTTTTTACCGTTTTCGTCGGTACCCAGTAGTCTTTTTTTAACCTATCTAGATTCATATATCATTGTTCTAGACTTTAGAATTTCTAGTCTCAATCAAAAATATTCCATGTGGTTTGACCTGTTATTCCACCAAGGACGGAAATTAAATCTCCAAAGTCACTATGACAATGGAAATATGTGTAACTTGAAC